CCTGCTCGGCAGGAAGTCTGCTTCTCCCTCTGCCACTCCCCCTGCTTGTGTTCCCTCTCTCTGTGTCAAATACATAGATAAAATCTTTTTTTTTAAAAAGAAAACTTTACTGTTCTTGATTAAAATTTATTAAGATTGTGAGGCTATATCGTTCCCCTCTTGATAGATATTGGTGTTGTTTCTATTACTTTGCTGTTATAAAACTATTGCTATCAATAGACTTGAGCATGTGCCATTTCATATTTTTGCCAGTAGATTCTTAGAATTGGATCGCTGAGGGGCGCCTGGGTGGCTCAGTTGGTTAAGCGACTGCCTTCGGCTCAGGTCATGGTCCTGGAGTCCCAGGATCGAGTCCCACATCGGGCTCCCTGCTCGGCGGAGAGTCTGCTTCTCCCTCTGACCTTCCCCCCTCTCATGCTCTCTCTCTCCCTCTCTCTCTTTCTCTCTCTTTTTTTTAAAGATTTTATTTATTTATTTGAGAGAGAGAGAATGAGAGAGAGCACAGGAGAGAGGGGAGGGTCAGAGGGAGAAGCAGACTCCCTGCCGAGCAGGAAGCCCGATGCGGGACTCGATCCAGGGACTCCAGGATCATGACCCGAGCCGAAGGCAGTCGCTTAACCAACTGAGCCACCCAGGCGCCCTCTCTCTCTCTCTCTCTTAAGAAAAAAAAAAAAAAATCTAAAAAAAAAAAAGAATTTGACCGCTGAGTCAAAAAGTAAGGGCATATGTCTTTATATTCATTAAACAACTTCCTTCTTCCTTCAGCCCCTGGCAACCACAGGAATACAAAGCTTTTTTAAAAAAAAAAAACAAAATAGAAACCCAAAACCAATGAGTATCTTTATTTTTATGCCTGTGTCTTTGTGCTTTTAGAATCATACCAAGGCAGGGGCACCTGGGTGGCTCAGTTGTTAAGCGTCTGCCTTCCGCTCAGGTCATGATCCCAGGGTCGTGGGATCGAGCCCCACATCGGGCTCCCTGCTCAGTGAGAAGCCTGCTCCTCCCTCTCGCACTCCCCCTGCTTGTGTTCCCTCTCTCGCTGTGTCTCTCTGTCAAATAAGTAAATAAAATCTAAAAAAAAAAAAAAAAAGAATACCAAGGCAGCTTTTCGAGAAACAAGCTTTACTGAATTAAAGTCTATGGGTTTGTTTTAATTTTTTCCCCTCTGAATCACAAAAGTTTTGGTTCTCATAGAAATTTGGAAAATAGGGCACTGGGTGGCTCAGATGGTTAAGTGTCTGCCTTCGGCTCAGGTCATGATCCCAGGGTCCTGGGATCGAGTCCCGCATCAGGCTCCCTACTCCTTGGGAGCCTGCTTCTCTCTCTCTCTCTGTGTCTCATGAATAAATAAATAAAATCTTAAAAAAAAAAGAAATTTGGAAAATAAAGAGATAAAAATAAGACTCAAGCATTTCCACCCTACGAAAATAATCAGAATCAAAAACACAAGAAATAACAAGTGTTGGCGAGGATGTGGAGAAAAAGGAACCCTCGTGGGATCCTTGGTGGGAATGCAAACTGGTGCAGTCACTGTGGAAGACAGATAATATGGAGTTTCCTCAAAAAATAAAAAAATAGAACTACCCTATGATCTAGTAATCACACTACTGGGTATTTACCCGAAGAATAAGAAAACACCAATTTGAAAAGATATTTGCACCGCTGTGTTTACTGCAGCATGATTTACCATAGCCAAGATAGGGAAGCAACCCAAGTGTCTATCCATAGATGAACGGATAAAGAAGATGTGGTACATATAGACAAGGGAATATTACTCAGCCATAGAAAAGAATGAAATCTTGCCATTTGCAACAACATGGATGAAGCTAGAGGGTATAATGCAAAGTGAAATAAGTCAGTCAGGAAAGGACAAAATACCATATGACCTCACTCCTATGGGGAATTTAAGAAACAAAATAAACACGCAGAGGAAAAAAACGGACAAACAAAAAAGCAGACTCTTATAGGGAACACACTGATGGTTACTATAGGGGAGGTGGGTGGGGGGATGGGTGAAACAGGTGATGGGGATGAAGAGCACACTTGTCATGATGAGCACTGCGTAGAGAATTACTGAATCACTATATTGTATACCTGAAACTAATATGACACTGTATTTTAATTACACTGGAATTAAAATTAAAAAGATAATCAGTATTGCATTTTGATACTTTTCATTCAGCCTTCCTCTTTTTCCTTCTCCCTCCAGAGAGCCCCACGTATGTATGTGTATTGAGTATGTGTGTAAAAACCTGCTTATACACGGCTCTTGCTCATTTGTGTAGTCTCATTATAAAGGTAGGATTATACTGCAGCTTTCTGCTTTTAAAAGTATTATTATTATTTTTTAAAGATTTTATTTATTTATTTGACAGAGACAGAGATAGCGAGAGCAGGAACATAAGCAGCGGGAGTGGGAGAGGGAGAAGCAGGCATCCCGCCGAGCAGGGAGCCCGATGCGGGGCTCGATCCCAGGATCCTGGGATCATGACCTGAGCCGAAGGCAGACGCTTAACGACTGAGCCATCCAGGCGCCCTTAAAAGTATTTTTAAATGGCCATTAAATATTCTTGAAAAATATTCCCTGAGATCAAGAGCAGCGTGTTCTACAGATTGAGTCAGCCAGGCACCCCAAACTACCATTTTATTGTTGGAAACTTAGGCTGTTTCTAGGTTTCTGCTCTTTGTTAGTGATCCACGTTGTGTATAAAACTTGTCTGAGCATCTTATTTTCTTAGAGCTATTCCCTAGGAATAGCTAGATCAGAGAACGTGCTGGATCTGAGGATTCACTGTTCTGTTTTTTGGGGTCTCATGAGCTGGAGAAAGCACTCACATTCAGATGCTCCTCTCTATGTGTAGAGTTACTTTACCTTCTAGTCATAGAAGATACCCGCTTCTGTCGCACAGAAGAAGAAATCATTTTACTTACCAAACATTTGTAGCAAGCCTTTGTCAATAGACCAGGATGAACCCAAGGATGTGGTTAGATTGAGACGAGCACTGGGGGCACAGTTCTTTGGTAGGCATAGCTCCCCCTTTGGAAATGAACCGATTTCTGACTCCATTCCATTCTGTTATATCCCCTCATCTTTCAGCACATTCAACTGAGGCACCTTTGCAAAGGATTTATAATTTTGGTTATTTTTAATATGTTAATTGAGGAGAGTATGACATTAGTATGTCTCTCTTTTTTTTTTGAGAGGGAGATAGAGCATGAGTGGTGGGAGAGGAGCAGAGGGAGAGAGAGAAAGAGAATCTTTTTTATTAAAGATTTTATTTATTTATTTGAGAGAGAGAGAATGAGAGAGAGCAAGCACATGAGATGGGGGAGGGTCAGAGGGAGAAGCAGACTCCCTGCCGAGCAGAGAGCCCGATGCGGGACTCGATCCAGGGACTCCAGGATCATGACCTGAGCCGAAGGCAGTCGCTTAACCAACTGAGCCACCCAGGCGCCCGAGAGAAAGAGACTCTTAAGCAGGCTCCAGCACAGAGCCAGACTAAGGGCTCAATCTCAGGACCCTGAGATCATGACCTGAGCTGATAGCAAGAGTCAGAGGCTTACCCAACTGAACCACCCAGGCGCCCTGACATTAGTATCTTTGATGATGGTCCCAATGCCTCAGTCATCTGTCATATTGGCAGCACATTATTCTGTGCAAAGGATCCTTGCAGATGATGGAGGTTAACCAGTTATAGTGGTAGAGTTTGGGTACAAAAGTTCTGATATTGAGAACAGATTTTCCTGACTTGTTACTTATAATGGACCTTTCATGACAAGTTGGGTTTTCCTCTGTGCATATTGACTGGGAAAGTCCTCGAAGGCAAAAGCACTTCTCCTGGGTTTATATGGGTTATTTTATCCTCTGTCGCTCATGGGAGAGCCTTGGAAGGAAGGTCTATTTCTACCCTATGTTTGGGAGAGTCAGAAACCCATACTCCCCGAGTGGGCAAGCCTTAATTGAACACCTATTCCGTGTCAGGCAGGTCCATGCTGGGCGTTCAAGAGGACAGACCCAGGCGTTGCCTGGAGGAGCTCGCTCCTGTGGGGGGACAGTGAACTCAGTGTGGGGCAGCTGGATAGCCTGACGCCTCAGGTTTTCACAGAAGGAGGCAGATGGAGATTGACCATCATGTCAAAAGGCATTTGAATCTGGCCTCTCCTAATTCTTGGTTCTTAGCTTCTCTGATCCTCCATTACTTCCTGTGACAGGGGGACATCAGGGGGTCTGAGGTTGGGATAAGATCACGTGTCTGGTGCCCTTAACACACAATAGCTGGTAAGCCATGACGTCACCTTTGTTACTATTATTTCTACTAGGGCTTAGCTGTGGAGATGGGAGGGGTCTGGGGTTCCACTCTCAGAAGTAGTTATGACTCAAAATCAACAGAAATTGCGGACTAGCTGGATAGGCTAGTGCCAGGGACCAAGGAGAATAAACATCTCTTTGCAGTACTGAGCTCCTGCGGATTTGTACCTCCGCCCCTCACTTGGACCCTCACAGCCTTACAGCCCTGGGGCAGATGCAGATGAGATGCCCCAGGCGGGAAGGGGATGGGGTGTGGGCTGTGCTCCCACACCTCTGCAGCCTCACCCCCTCATCCCCACCATGCCAGCTCTGTCTTGGGCCAATCTTGGACCGCCTCAGTTTCCCTAATACAGTGGTGTGGTGGTGAGGGTGGGGGTGGCTGCAGAGGGTTGATTTCGAGGGGGTATCAGGAGCGCCAAGTTTCCTGCATTTAGAATGTTTAAGGGGCCGCCTGGCTCAGTCGGTAGAGTGAGCGACTCTTGACCTTGGGGTTGTGGGTTCCAGCCCTATGCTGGGTATAGAGATGACTTAATAAAGTAAAATCTTTTTTTTTTTTTTAAGATTTTATTTATTTATTTGAGAGAGAGAATGAGAGAGAGAGAGAGCACATGAGAGGGGGGAGGGTCAGAGGGAGAAGCAGACTCCCAAGGAGCAGGGAGCCCGATGCGGGACTCGATCCCGGGACCCCAGGATCATGACCGGAGCCGAAGGCAGCCGCTTAACCGGCTGAGCCACCCAGGCGCCCAATAAAGTAAAATCTTCAAACAAACAAACAAAACAAAAAACCAACAAACTAAACTAAAATGTTCAAGATCAGTTCAGTTCCCCCCCCTTCCCCCGCCACGGCCCCCAAGGCTTGTCTTCCTCGCGGACGTCCAGGTGAGCGCCGGCAGGGGGCTGAAGTAGTACCAGCAACCGAGCACCTTTGTTGCACGCCTACTCCTGGACCGACCCGCGCCCTCCCTCTGTCGTTCTCCCCAAGTCCCCGTCCGGCACATCTGGAGCGGGACTCTCCCTCCCGCCCGGCGCGCCCCTGCCCATTCGGGGGGAGCCCGCGGCGGAGGTCCGGGAGCGCCCGCCCCGCCTGCCCGCGGGGCCGGAGGCGGGGCCGGGCGGGGCCGGGCGGCGGGGAGGGGGTGCGGGGCTCCGAGACGACACCGCGGCCCGAGCTGCCGGCACCTGCAGCCGTCGGATGGGTCCGCTGCCTCTGAGCCCGCCCGCAATGCTGCGGCCGCCGCTGCTCCTTCTGCTCCTGTTGCTGTTGGGACCCGGACCCGGGCCCAGCGCTGGTGAGTGAGTGAGGAGGGGGGCCCCCCCGGAGGAACGGGGAGCCCTGCCTTCCCGTCCCTCTGCAACCCCTCCAACTCATCAGCCTCTCCACCGCCTCCCGGGGCCCGGGGAGCCCCCGGCCCTCCTTTCCCGCCTCTCTGATGCATTCTTTACAAGGTTTCCAGGAACCCTGTCCCCCAGCCTCACCGCCCCCCCCCCAAGGCACCCTCCAGTCACCTGTCCCTGAGGTCTAAGGTAGGGCTACGGGGGGGACACCTGGGAGGGGCAGGTGAAGAACAGAAGGTGGCTTTCTCACCTGCCCCTGGCCATCACCCTTAGAGAGGTCTCCTCAGCACCCGACTATTTCTGGGGTGTACAGACACACCCACTTGCAGGGAAATATAGGGATACACCACAAGCAGGGAGACACGGAGGCACAGGACACCTTCAGCCTCACCTGGGTGGGCACTCAGGTGTAGGGTTCACGGACAGGTTCACACCGGGACACAGGCAAAGGGACCTCCTCCTTAGGGAACACACATATGCACACATAAAGCTCAGGCAGACCAGACAGCCTGACGTGGATACACACACACACACAGACACAGACACACACACACACACGCACGCTCAGGCCCATGGGACACCGGGACAGCTTTGGCACTCCCAAGTAGAGGCTGTCGTGGGCAGACAGAGCAAACAGACCCCAGAATGACCTGCCTCACCTAAGTTGATGCAGAGGGAGTGTTTTCCTTGGTTCCAAACTCAGTGCTGGGCAGCTGCCCCGTGCCTTGGTTCTCTGGAGGGCTGTGCCCAGGACCCTGAGATTGCCAGAGTGTGGTCAGGTTGGGGTGGGGACCTCCGGGGACAGCTTTGGGGCATGGAGTTAGGACTGGGGCCATTTCAGGTATGCTTACACAGGGAGTGTTCCATGGGGCTTGGTGGGTCCGGAGGTCAAGGGACCTTTTCTGGAAGCTTACTGTGTGCCAGGGATCTGGAGTTGTCTACAGCAGAAATCTGCCCTAAAAGAGCTCCCAGTTGAGAAGGTCACTCCTAGGGGCGCCTGGGTGGCTCAGTCGGTTAGGCATCTGCCTTCAGCTTCTCCTTCTCCCTCTTCCTGCTGCTCCCCCCACTTGTGCTCTCTCTCTCTGTCAAATAAATAAATAAAATCTTTAAAAGAGTTAAATAGAGGGTCACTCCCATAAGCAGACAGCTGCACAGTGTGGTAAAGACCCCTATGGTCACCTGGGGGCAAGGCAGATTATAGAAGGAGGTGACAGGTGAGCATGGGGTGAGGGTGTGTGCCCTGCAGGGTGTCTGTGATGGGAAATTCAACTGGAGGAGACGTTAATGATGAGCAGGGGCTGCATGGGGGTGTTGAGAGAGGACATGGGGGTGTTGAGAGAGGGGCCCCTTCGTGCAGGGCCTCTGGGCTGTGGCAAGGCCTCTGAGCTATATCTGGACGGTGGGAGCCACGGGATGTTTCGGGCAGATGCATGGGCAGCTGGGAGCCGCACCTGGCCAGTTCTGGGCGAGCGAGGACTGGTCACCCAGAGAGGAAGGCGAAACCTTTAACTGGTTTCTATGTTTTCTTTCTATTTAACTCATCTCTATTCCCCCACCCCCACAAATATGGTACTTTTTCCACCGAGAGAAAACAACAATGGGTTTAATTTTGGCTCTTCAAAAAAGTCAGGGTGATGAACACTTGTTTTAAAAAAATTTTTTTAAGGATTTTATTTATTTATTTGACAGAGAGAGAGAGCACACACAAGCAGGGGGAGCAGCAGAGGGAGAGGGAGAAGCAGGTTCCCCGCTGAGCAGGGAGCCCGATGCGGGGCTCCATCTCAGGACCCTGGAATCATGACCTGAGCCGAAGGCAGACGCTTCATGGACGGAGCCACCCAGGCGCCCTGAAAACTTGTTTTAGATGAAAAGCGATGAGACCTTATGGGCAGATGCAATGCACAGACCTGGCCTGGCTCCTCTGTCCCCAAGCGGCGGAGAGTGGACACCCAGGAATCAGACAGGTCTCCGTGTGAGTGTCTGCTCCAGGCCTCGGCGGCCCCGTGCATCTTCAAGCCTCAGGCTCCCCAGCCATAAATGGGATAACAGCTGCCTGCAAGACAAAGAGGCTATGCTCTTGACAATAGGAGATGCCTGTCAACTGGAGAGCACGGTGCTTGGTATGGGGTGAGGTTCAAGTGATCACACTCCTTACTGTTACTCTGTTTGGTTTTTTGGACCAATGCCAGAGAGCGGACTCCTTCGTTACCTTCACCGGAAGGATTATTGGATGTCCCGGTCACAGTGGGTTTGGAGGGCCCTGACCTCAAGCAGTGGCCCCATTGGTGCCTCTCAGCTCTGTCACCTTGGCAGGCCCCCTTCCCTTGCCCTTATTGGGTGAAGAGGAAGGTGCACCGGTTTGGAGGTCAGAAGCCTGGGTCGGAGCCCCCCAAGAAGATCAGGTTCTTGTTGGCTGTATGACTGTGGGGGTCATCCTTGGTGCTCTGGTCTCCTCTTCCTCACCTGTGAAATGTGGGGGGTCCAGTCACCCCTCCTGTGCATTGCTGTGTGTCAGAGATGCACTGGGATGCAGACAGGTGGCTGGGCTCAGGCCACAGGGCCTCCCTGTGTGGGAGGAAGCCGTGCGTGGGCAGTGAAAATAAGAGAAGATGCAAAAGGCCCCGAGCCCGAGTCTGGAGGGGCACGGTGGGGGGCAGGGGAGATCCATGGACAGGAAAGCCCCTGCAGGGGAGCCTGGTGGCATGGACCCTGTTTAGCTCATTTCTGTTACCCAGTGCCCAGCACAGGCAACTGGACAGACATTTGATTCGGGGCTAGCAGTCTGAGGAGGAGTAGACGAGGGCAGGAGATTGGAAATCAGGACATTCCAGGAAGCCGCGCCAGCCTTTGCAAAGGCGCAGTGGTGCGACCTTTGGGATGCCGCGGCTCCGTGACTTGTTTTCTCTTTCAGGGCTGCCTTGGAGACATGAATAGTAGAGGCGGGCATGTGCCAGGGGCTTTACATGCATGATGCCGTTTCATCCTCCCTATTGTATAAACAAGGAAACCAAGGCACAGAGAGGTTGAGTAAGTTGTTCAAGTTCACACAGCGAGGAAGTAGGAAGAGCGGGATTCAAACCCAAACAGTCATCCAAGCCCTTCCCACACTAGTGCCCTTCCCCAAGCCCTGCCCTGCAATCTCTGACCTTTGTTTCCCTCTAGCTTCCCAGAGGTCACATGTGCACCGGCGTGGGCTTCTAGAACTGGCAGGGACCGTGAACTGTGTTGGCAGCCGCAGCCCCCTGTCCTACATAAGCTATGGCTGCTATTGTGGTGTGGGAGGCCATGGCCAGCCCCGCGACGCCATCGACTGGTGAGTGCATGCTTGGGCCCGGGCTTAGAAGGTCCCCCACCCCCTGGGGTAGTTAAGGCCTCTCTAAGGAAATACGCACAACCGAGGTTTCTGTTTGGACTAGCAAGGTCCTAGCACGCAGTACAACCTGGCAGGCAGAGGGCCTCCTGGGTGACGGGGCCACTGAGGACACACCCCGGGTGTCACAGCTGCCCCCCCGCCCCCAGCCTGGCCATGCAATGAATTACTTGGGCTGAAAAAAGAACATAGGCTTAATCAGACATATTATGCACCAGGAACCGTTCTGAGAAGCCCTCTCAGTCCTCACAACAACCCCATTTCAGAGATGAGGACACTGAGGCAGGAGAGATTAATTTGTCTGGGGCCACAGAGACAGTGAGGGGTGGGGGCTGGGATCCGAACCCAGGCAGCCCGGCTGGATTTATGCCCCTACCCGCTGGGCTCCGCTACCATGTGAGAAATGCCCGTTCTGTGCAAGGCTGAGGGTTTATTTAGATCTTCCCGGGACTTCCTTTCATTTATCCTCCGAGGTGGGCAGGACGGCTGTCTCCTGAGGCTCAGGGAGGCACGGCCACTCAGCCATTTCCACACAGCCAGTAGGAGGTGGCAGAGGGCACCATGTGATGGTCTCTTCCCTGGCTTGGAGGATTTGACTGTCCCAGACAGGTATTTGCTCAGTCTCATGCTTCCAAGTCTCCTGGGCATGGTTGCCTGCTTCCTACACATCCTCCCAGATGCAGCTCAGGCATTGACCCTTCTGGGTTCCCAGAGTCCCCCCCTGACCCCTTATCCCACGTTCTAGCACTTCTCACCATGCACGTGGTGTCTGGAGGCTTGTCTGCCTCCCCCCATCAGACTGGGGGCTCCTTGAGGGCAGAGTGGCATCTGGCTGACCTCTCCCTGCCAGATCCCATTATGGGCTCTGGACACAGAAGGACTAGTAGCTGGATGGAGACTGTACCAGTGAATGAATGAATAATGGGCAGGTTTGGAGACATTTGTGGATGTTTCTCAGAATTGCTCAACAGCAAATTATCATTATTATTATTATTGAGGTCCCATTATGTAGCAGACCCTGGAGTGGACACTGGGGACACTGTGGAGAGCAGGACAGAAATGGTCCTGTCCTGACAGAGCTCTGGCCACTGCAGAGGACGGATGCTCATCAGTCTTCTCCCTAAAATGAGAGTCTTGTTATAAATCTGCCGTGAAGGGAAGGAACCCAGTTGTATGAGAGGGTGTAACCAGGAGACCGTCATTGACTGGGGAGGTCAGGAGCTGGATGACATCTTGGGATGGGAGCTGGTTCTTAGGCTGAGACCTGGAGGGAGGAAGGATGGACAGGAAGCCATCCCAGGCAGAGGACAGGTCCCACGCAAAGTCAGGAGGCAGGCGGGGCTCAGCTCACTCCCGGCACAGAGAGGAGGCAGGTGCGCGGGAGCTCAGAGACACAGAATGAGGCAGGCAGGGGCCAGGGGACGCAGCCAGGGCACACCCCACACACTGGGGCCAGCAAAATTATTTCCCAGGGTGGGGATTCTTGGGGACACAGCTTGGACCAGAAGATGCTGGCTCCCTGCGTGTCCTCACGTACCCAGAGTCCTGGCCGGGAGAGCATCCCTGCCTCCACCCAGCTGCTGGTCTGCCTGCCTGCCATCCCCAGGTGCTGTCACCGGCATGACTGCTGCTACACGCAGGCTGAGCAGGCTGGCTGCAGACCCAAGATGGAGCGCTACCCCTGGCAGTGTGTCAATCAGAGCATCGTCTGCGGTGAGTCCCCAGCAGGGCCCGTGCCTCCCCCCCTCCCCCCGCCCGCCCCAGCGGCCCCGGGCGTCCCGGCTGCAGTAACTCACCGCTGCTCCCAACACTGCAGAGACCACCCCCAGGGGTTACCTACTCTAAGTGATCTTTAACACGGAGCACTTACGGAAACAGACAAAGAAACCGGGACAAAAGCTAAAAAAGAAATGACACCAGGTATAAACAATCTCAATGTCCATCAGCTGGGGGCGTGGGTAGATTAAACCTGCGATTTATTCTTACTGTGGACGACTCTGCAGCCTGCAGAAAGGGATAAGGTAGAACCTCATGCTGACGCGAGAAGGTGTTGAGTGGAAAAGCAAACTGGAGGACGACATGTCCAGGAAAGCACAATTTTTGTTTAAAAAAAAAAAAGAAGAAGAAGAAGCTTGCAACAGAGTAGCATGCTTCTTTTCCGTGGCTACCTGTAGATACTTCAAAGCTCAGAAAAAGGTATGTAGAGATACAGGGCGTGCAGTGGGTGGCTGTGGTCATCCCTAGACACAGGATCAGGCTGAGGCAGGGGTGGTGGAAGGCAAGTTCACGTTCCTGTAATGTTTCCCTTCCTTTACAAAAAGAATGTCTTCATTAATTACTTTTGAGCCAAAGCTTAGAAAGAAAAGGAATCCACAGCCTGAACTCTGGACGGGTGAAGTGCCCAATCTCTGCAAAGGCATCAAAACGAAATAAAATAAAAAGGTGGACAGATGGACGGGTGGGTGGGCAGACGGAGGGGCGACAGGTGAAGAAGCAGAATGTCATTGGTAGACGTGGCAAGGCAGGTGTACAGATGTTCTCTGCTATTCTTTCAGCTTTTCTGTGGGTTTGAAATTTTCCACAACAAAATGTTAGGAACCAAAAGAAAATGAAAGGAAAGAACTTAGTGGGAGAGGCCTGAGTCTCCATGTCCTCACCCCCAGCTCCAGCGTGTGATCCTCTCAAGATGCAGGCCAGCTCCACCTTGGCGTGGTTTGATAACCCCCCCTGCACCATGGTTCTGAGGCGCCCGCCCCAAACGTCCAGCACTAAGGACCAGACGCCATGGGCTGGGGCTGGGTTCCCCGCTGGTGAATGGGGGGATATAGAACCTGGACTGAGCCTGTAATATGAGTGTTCATTTCACTGGCCCGTCTTCCCTAAGGCTGAACCAGTGGAACAAGCCCGTGTTCTAGAGACATCCTACCACTTACCATTTGGGGACCCCAGGCAAACCCCTTCCTCTCTCTGGAACACTGTGCCCTCATCTCTCAAAATAGGGCTAATAGTATTGCAGGTTGGTGTCCCCTGGGCCATGTTTGTCCTGCAAATGTCTTGCTTCACCTGCACAATGTTTAGAAAAGCAATTTGAGCCAGTATTTGAAAAGTCAAAACAGGTCACATGAAAAAATTCTGAATTTCTGAATGTCCGGTTTTCCTTAAAAAAATTGGGGGGTCCAATATCATCAGACCTGGTAGCAACCATTGGCTGGAGCTTAGAGGGGCTGCCAATTATGGGGAGGGCCTCTCTCTCCCATCTGCCCCAGTCCCCACCATGCCCTATTGCCTCACATTGAGGCCAAGTAACAATTACCACATTTCACTTCCCTTGTGCTCTTCATTTGGTTATGGAAAAGAAATATTTCTTTTTTTTAATATTTTATTTATTTATTTGAGAGGAGAGAGAGAGAGCAAAAGCAGAGGTCAGGGAGAGGGCCAGAGGGAGAGGGAGAAGCAGGCTTTCCGCCGAGCAGGGAGCCCGATGAGGGGCTCGATCCCAGGACCCTGGGATCATGACCCGAGCTGAAGGCAGACGCTTAACCAACTGAGCCAACCAGGCGCCCCTCTCTTTTAATCTTCCTAACTTTGTGGAGGAGAAAGTCTCAGTTCAGTGTTAATTTAGCTTTAACATCCCTGGAACACTTGATGATTTTTTTTTTTTTTAACAGAGAGAGCAGGCTCATATCCAAGAACACTTTCTGTTCATCAATTGAATTCTGCCTTAAAAAAAATTCTTCCTATTTATCTATCTACCTACCCATTTATCTACTTATTTGTCTTTACGTGCAAGCAGTATGTATTTAATGAGGATAATTGTAACAGAATCCATCCTAACTTCATTGTACATTTTACATGACCAACCACTTAAGGAGTTTAAAGAAAAATAAAACAATAATTAAAAATGTTAAATGTTGGGGCACCTGGGTGGCTCAGTCAGTTAAGTGTCCACCTTCAGCTCAGGTCGTGATCCCAGGATCCTGGGATCGAGCCCTGCATCGGGCTCCCTGCTCAGTGGGGAGCCTGCTTCTCCCTCTCCCTCTGCGCCTTCTCCCGCTCATGCTCTCTCTTGCTCGCTCACTCTCTCAAATAAATAAATAAAATCTTTAAAAAAATGCTAAGTGTCCCTCAGAGCAACCTTACTGGTTTTTTGCTTTTTTTTTTTTAACATTACTGTTTTTTGTTTTTTTTAACCTTACTGGTGTTTTTTTTTTTTTTTAAACAAAGCAGTAAGAAAAGGACTGATGCATTTATTTTTAAGATTACCTTCTTTTGGATGGTATTTTCCACATACAGTTTCCTTTCAAATAAATCAAAAAGCTGAATCCATTTTAAAAATAGGAAGTAGGGGTGCTTGGTTGGCTCAGTTGATTGAGCATCCAAATCTTGATTTTGGCTCAGGTTGTGATCTCGGGTTTGTGGGATCGAGCCCTGTGTTGGGCTCCGCTGTGCTGGGTGTGGAGCCTGCTTGGGATTCTCTCATTCCCTCTGGCTCTGCCCCTCCCCCACTCACAGGCATATACACACTCTCTCTCTCTCTCTTAAAAAAAGAAAAAGAAAAGGAAGTAATGGGGCACTTGGCTGGCTCAGTTGGTGGAGCATGTGACTCTTGATCTGGGGTCGTGAGTTTGAGCCCCACGTTGGGTGGGAAGATTACTTAAAAATAAAATCTTAAAAAGTAACAAATATGGGAAGTAATAGTACACGTACAAGGTAGGTAAGGCTGCTGACCCAGAAATTTTTTTTTCCTTTCTTATTTTTAATTGAGATAAACATAATGCAAAATTAAATATTTACAGTATAAGCTTTAGTGATATTTAATACATTCATAATGTCATCCACCACCTCTGTCTAGCTCCAAAAGATTTTCTTCCTACCCCACCCTCTCCCTCAAAAGAGCCCCACTGAGCAGTCAGTCCTCATTCCCCCTTCCGCCACCACCTGGCAACCACCAATTTGCTTTCCCTCTGTATGGATCTACCAATTCTAATTTTATAGATATATATATAAACTGAATTCTGTTATTATATGTTATAATATATATCTCAATTGAATTCTATTATTGTATATAATAATATATAACAGAATATATATTATATATAACTGTATATATTATATTACATAGAATATTAAACAGAATATATATTATATATAACATTATATAATTCATACAAATGAAGTATATATAATATTTCATATAAATGAAGTCATACAATCTGTGGCCTTTGGTGTATGGCTTCTTCCACTTAGCATCATATTTTCAAGGTTCATCCATGTGGTAGCAGGTAGCTGAACTTCATTCCTTTCTATGGCTGAGTAACATTCCCTTTGTAGGGATAGACCACATTCTGTTCATCCATTCATCCGTTGGTGGACATTGGGCTTTTTGCACCTGCTGAGTACTGGGAATAGTGCTACTCTGAACATTTGGGAGCAAGTATTTGTTTGAGCATCTGTTTCCATTTCTTTGGGAGATATCACTATGAGTGGAATTGCTGGGTCATCTGGTAATTCTCTTTTTACTTTTTGAGGAACCACCAAACTTTTCTACAGAAGCTGTACCCCTTCACATTCTCATTAGCCATGTATGAGGGATCTAGTTTCTCTATAGCCTTGTCAACACTTGTTATCTTCCTGTTTGTTTTGTTTGCTTTTAGTAGAGGTGTTGAGTGTATCTCATTGTGGTTTGGGTTTGCATTTGCCTCATGACTAATGATGTTGAGCATGTTTTCATGTGCTTGTTGGCCTTTTTAATATTTTCTTTGGAGAAATGTCTATTCAAGTCTTTTGCTCATTTTTATTTTTTTATTTGTTTATATATTTTTAACATTTTTATTTTTAAGTAATCTCTACACCTGATACGGGGCTTGAACTCACAACCCCAAGATTGAGAGTCACACGCTCTACCGACTGAGTCCACCAGGCACCCCTCTGCTCATTTTTAATTGGGTTGTCTTTTTATTATTGAGTTATAAGAGTTCTTTATATATTTTGGATTCTAGACCCTTATCAGATATGTGATTTGCAGACGTTTTCTCCCATTTTGTAGGTCGTCTTTGCATTTTATTGATAACATCTTGGATGCAAATATCTATTTTGTCTTTTGTTGATTGTGTATTTGGTGTCCTAAGAATCCACTGCCAGATCCTATGTCATGAAGACTTACCCCTCTTTTCTTCTAACAGTTTTATAATCTGAACTCTTACATTTAGGTCACTGATCCACTTTGAGTTAATGTTTGTGTATAGTATGAGGTAGGGATCCAACTTAATTCTTTCGCATGTGTATATCCAGTTGTTCTAGCATCATTTGAGACTCATTTTTTCCCCATTGAATAGTCTTAGTACCCTTGTTGAGATTCACTTGGCCCTAGATGGATGACTTCCCTGGGCCTCAGTTTCCTTACCTGGAAGATGGGTATTGCAAAGATGAAAAAAGTGTTTATAACATGATAAACAGATTGGACTGGGTTGTTACTCTTTCCCTTCCCTTCTCCTCCAGCTGTCAGCCTGATCTGAACCTCTCTCTGACCTCCACTACCTCCATTAGAGAGAACAGAGGATCTGGCATGACTCTCCATTAAACCCACCACTCCTGCACTGCAGGGAAGGAAGACGTCATAAGGGTTACCGGAAGGATGGTCTTAGATATTCTTGGACTCTCAGCTGTATCTCCTTAGCATGAAGTAGCAGTTGGTATAAGAGGAAAGCTGAATTAATATGGAGACATAATATCAATTTTTAGGACCCAAAGTGTCCCAGACATGGTCTTGTCCAGCTCTCTTATTTAGAGTTGGGGAAACTGAATGAAGCTCAGGGAAGGAAGTGACTCGCTTAATGTGGTGGTCATGTGCCCACTCCTGGGTGCATCCCCTGCCCACAGACTGCCCCCAGACTGTCCAGCCCCAGGGTGGGCAGAAAGGAGATGAAATGGGGCTTGACTGGGAAATCGGTTGAAGTTCTCTCCCTTGTCCCTTCAACTGCATGTTCGGCTTGCCGCTAAGCATGCGAAGGCGATGTCTGTAAACTATTTATTGGTGTGTCTGCTGGTGGAGTTCATGCCTGTTTACAGAACTGGCCTCCCTGAACCAAACGAAAAGAACCAAAATATCTATTCTGCATTTGTTTTTGGCTAAAAATATTCTCTTCTTCTGTTTGGAGATACTCTGAACATAGCCGTTTACCTAATTACAGGTGTTGCCCATTTTCCATTTATGGGCCTGACTTAAATATATTAAAAAAATTTTAAAGCCTATGATAATATTTACTGGAAGGTCTTTATTTTAAGCTTAATCCTTGGGGGCTGTTTTTTCCTTTTAAGTTTTTATTCTTGAATAACATGATGCTGTTGCGTTCCTGAGGCTATGGAGTGGTGAGACCATGTCTTGCTTTTCAAAGAAACTTTCTGGGGCGCCTGGGTGGCTCGGTCAGTTAAGCATCTGACTCTTGATTTCGGCTCAGGTCATAATCTCAGGGTTGTGAGATCAAGCCCCAAATCAGGCTCCGTGCTGAGTGTGGAGCCTGCTTAAGACTCTCTCTCCCTCTGCGCACCCCTACCCTCCCTCACTCTCTTTCGAAGGAAGGAAGGAAGGAAAGAAGGCAGGCAGGAAGGAAGGAAGGAAGGAAGGAAGGAAGGAAGGAAGGAAGAAACTTTGGGTTGGAGCACAAGGTCAGTATAGGTGTTGGGTCAGCTGATTCTGGGCTGGAATCCTGGTTCCCCTCCCTGCTTAGTGTTGTGATCTTGGACAAGTTACTGAATCCCTCTGAGCTCTGCTTTCCTCATCTGTAAAATGAGAATAATAAAATTTAGGTGCCGGGTTTGTATGAGGATTGGAAACAGCGTATGGCTATCCTATCGTCCTCCCAGCAGATATTATTGAGAATCTCTTCTGTGTCAGGCTCCATGCTAGGTTTTGGGCAAGATGGAGAAACAAGATTCTGTAGTCTAAAAGGAGGAGGGTGGGATTATAGTGTCTGTGCTCATTGCTGTTATAAGTACTGGGTTGGAAAATAAAGTAGGTGAAGCATCATACCTGCTACAACGTGGATGAATCTTGAGAACGTGATGCTAAGAGAGAGAAGCCAGACGCAAACGGTCACATGCTGTGTGACTCCATTTTTATGAAATGTCCAGAATAGGCAAATCCATGGAGATGGAAAGCAGATTAGTGGTTGCCCGAAGAGATCAGTGGGACTCAGGTGAGGGGAAATGGGGAGTGACTTCTTTTTTTTTTTAAAGATTTTATTTATTTATTGGAGGGAGAGAGAGTGAGAGAGAGCATGAGAGGGGAAAGGGTCAGAAGGAGAAGCAGACTCCCCACCGAGCAGGGAGCCTGACACGGGGCTCGATCCTGGGACTCCAGGATCATGACCTGAGCCGAAGGCAGTCGCTTAACCAACTGAGCCACCCAGGTGCCCTAATGGGGAGTGACTTCTTAATGGGTATGAAGTTTCTTTTGGAGTGATAGAAATATTTTGGATCTAGAGAGGAGTGATGGTTGCACAACACTGTGAAGGTACTAAATGCCGCTGACTCGTGCACGTTAAAATGGTAAATTTTGTTTTGGGAATTTCACCGCAATAAAAAAATGCAGGGGAGCAAGGTAAGGGATACTCTTTTATATAGAATGGTCTGGGGCCAGAGAAGCAGTGATAAAATGCCACTGAAACAGAGACCTGGGGAATGTGAAAGGAGCCATGTAAAGAAATGATAGGAACAGCCAGTGCAAAGGCCCTGAGGCAGGAATGAATGTCTGGGTGGTCCAAGAAGCTCAAGGAGGATGGTGAGGCTGGAGCGGAGTCACCTAGATGAGAGTGGTGGGTGATGATGTCAGAGCGAGAGGGTCCCATTGATACTATACAGACAACCCCTTGACTAACCTTCTGGTGTTTTCCCTATCTTTTTCAAGTGCATCATTAAAAAAATACCTGGCATCGCTTCTCGGCCTTTTGGCTAAGATCAAGTGTAAAAAAAAAATACGGCAGTATGTTTTGTACCCTTTATTTTTTGCCGAAGTATAAGCTGTTTCTCATGTCATTAAAACCCTATTAAAGAATGCTGTGTTACAAACATGAATTGCAAGGGTGGGCGTGTCCTGAGTCCTTGCACCATTCCCTTCCTGCAGACGGGTCACGAGACCCAGTTGGGGTCCTAGTCTTCTCGCCCCTTCTTGGATTTCTCCTCTGGAAGGTTGGGGTGCCCTGTGGCACAGCCCTGAGGGCTGGGTGAGATGGGGACCATGAAGCCCTTTGCTCGGTGCCTGGTTCTGCATAAATGCACAATAAAGCCTGGCGTCCGTCGTCCTGACCTCTTGTTGTTATTGATTTAATGAATTATAACCAAGGCATTTTGCAAGCGTTTAAACAGAGGCTTTTGGATTTGGGGGGTGTTTGTGTTTGGTCCTCCCTTCCAGTAGTTTTCTAGAGTTTGGGAAGCTTCATGATGAATTTATATGAGAAAAATGTTCTCTTTCGGTTCTCTATTAATTTTTCCAGTTAGGCAAGGATTAAGCGTCTGTTGTGGGATGGTTGAACAGCTGGAAAGGTTAAACCTCTCTTACACTTGCTAATCTCCCTGCTTTTAACCAAGACACCCCGATTTGGGGCTTACAGCCTTTAGGGAGGCAATATTATCTAACTAGCCTTTAATATTAGAAATTTACCTCCACTGGTTTTTGTTGTTTTTCGACCAGTTTCTTAATTTATGGTATAAGATTTTCGTTTTCTACTTATGGCAATGATAGAATTAATTTTTTATTTATTTTTAAATTTGTTTAATGTAGTTTAATACCATGTAATATAATTAAATTATAACTTATTTTTTTTTTAAAGATTTTATTTATTTATTTGAGAGAGAGAGAATGAGAAAGAGAGAGCACATGAGAGGGGGGAGGGTCAGAGGGAGAAGCAGACCCCCTGCTGAGCAAGGAGCCCGATATGGGACTCGATCCCGGGACTCCAGGATCATGACCTGAGCCGAAGGCAGTCGCTTAACCAACTGAGCCACCCAGGCGCCCTAAATTATAACTTATTTAATAATTGACTTACTATTTAAAAACGAGGGGATTTTTAAATTTTTGTAAGATTTTATTTATTTGACACAGAGAGAGAGAACACAAGCAGGGGGAGTGGGAGAGGGAGAAGCAGGCTTCCCGTGGAGCTGGGAGCCCGATGCGGGGCTCGATGCGGGGCTCGATCCCAGGACCCTGGGATCATGACCTGAGCCGAAGGCAGACGCTTAACCGACTGAGCCACCCAGGCGCCCCTCCAAGGAACATGAGAGGATCCTTAAAGAGTGGCTGGCTGCCGAAGGAGGTCGGCTCCAGCTTACTGAGTGTCTACTGTATGCCCTGCATTTTACCCATTGGGTAAACTGATCTGTTGGGTGTCTTTTCGATCTCCCAGCAGCCCTTAGAAGTAGGTACTATTAGTATCCCTGTGTTGCCCTGAGGAGACACCTAGAAGGGATGAAGTGATGTGTCTAAAGGCACAGAGCTGCTACATCCCTGATCGAGCTGGTTAACTCCAAAGCTGGTGCTTCACTCTGCCTCTGGAGGCAATTTGGAAGGATTCAATGGTGGGTGGGTTTTGTATTTACATGTATGTGAATAATTAAAAGCCCACACTAAGAGGCAGTGGGTGGCATGGTTAGGTGGGATTTCCAAAGCTGTTTCAGGCATCATGCCTTCTAGATTAGTAAAATACCACTTGAAGATCAGGGAATCTTTCTAACCCCAAGCAGTGAATCTCCAATGGTGGGATTACTGCCAAGGCGGAGACTGACCTTCGGGTGGCACCCTCTGCGTCTCTACAAGGCAGGCTCAAGCTGGAAGGGGAAGATGGAATACGCTCTTGAAGGAGCAGGGGGAAGAGACGTGGAGAAGGAAGGCAGAGAGATGCAGGCGGAGCCGACATTGACCGAGTGCCCGTCCCTTGCCAAGCCGCTGCTGGGCGCCCTACATGGGCTTCTCCGTGACCCACGTTTCCAGCGAGGACTTGGCTCAGAAACCTTGGGCAAGGTCACCTAGCTAGGAAGTAGCAGAGCAGGCACTCCAAAAAAGCGCCCTGGATCGTTCCCAGGCACCTACTGCTTATCTGCACGGATCCTCCGGGGAGGTAGTGTAATGTTGATGCGGAAGAGAAGCCAGAAGGTCGCATGGACTTTGGACTTTTCCATCTGAAAACACTTCCCTGGCAACTTCAGGTTTCTTTTCCGTAAAACCGGGCCAATGTCGCCCCCCCCCCCCGGCTCGCCTCCCCCTGATCCCCCGCCTCCCCGGAATTTGCCAGGATGGAGATCACGTGGTAAATTGCCAAGCGTCAGGTAGATGCAACTTACCACCCTCCCTGCCTCCAGCTTCTTGGCTTCCCTAGTGTTTACTGTCAAGTCTCTGAGAGGCCCTGCTCTAACTCAGTTTCCCCACTTCTTCCAGGACCAGCGGAGAACAAATGCCAGGAGCTCTTGTGCAAGTGTGACAAGGAGATTGCTTACTGCTTAGCCCAGACTAAGTACGACTTAAAGTACTTATTCTACCCCCGTCTCTTGTGTGAGAAGGACTCGCCCCAGTGTGACTGACTAGCCTAACTTGGAATGTTCTTTCGCACAAGGAAATAAAAACTCTTTTTCACTCATCAACAGCTGCATTCAGTTCTTTGCAGGTGGGAACGAAGGCCAAGTGTGAAAGCTGCAACCCTTGTTTGCTTTCTCTCCCGGAGAGAGAAAGCTGGAGCTGGAGCCTGTGTGGCTTCCAGTTTAAGGTCAAAAGTCCCGTGCTTATTTTATAAAACCACAACTAGGCCTGGGTTTGGTACCATTTTTTTTTTTTTAAAGATTTTATTTATTTATTTGCGAGACAGAATGAGAGACAGAGCACAAGAGGGAGGAGGGTCAGAGGGAGAAGCAGACTCCCGGCTGAGCAGGGAGCCCGATGCGGGACTTGAGCCCGGGACTCCAGGATCATGACCTGAGCCGAAGGCAGTCGCTTAACCGACTGAGCCACCCAGGCGCCTGGTTTGGTACCATTTTTGAGATTCGCCTTTTATGAAAAGGGCTGAGCTTTGTGTTCTAACCTGCTCCTGACGGTGGGTGGTCAAACATGAACGTACAGCTACCACGTGCTTGGCCTTGTTCTGTGTTCCGGGATGAGGCGATGAACAAGATGCCCCTTCCTGGGGCGCCTGGATGGCTCAGTCAGTGAAGCGTCTGCCATCGGCTCAGCTCATGATCTCAGGGTCCTGGGGTCGAGCCCCGGGTTGGGCTCCCTGCTCAGTGGGGAGCCTGCTTCTCCCTCTCCCACTCCCCCTGCTTGTGTTCCCTCTCTCGCTGTGTCTCTGTCTGTCAAATAAATAAATAAATAAAATCTTTAAAAAAAAAAAAAAACAACCTTTGGAAACTTCAATTTAAGTAACTGTATAACATACTGTTTTATAGATTGCCCACTTTTGGGTATTGATATTTCCAGTTTTTATCGATTATTGACGTGACGAGGATGCTAATGAATAAATCTTTGCTACACCCCACCACCTCCCTTTTATTGTTCCTTAACCTAGTGTCACGGCCGAGGGCAGGCCACCCCAAGATGGGTATGGAGATTATTTTGAACTGAAGGCAGCAGAGACCCTGCGGGCTCAAGAGAAACTTTTGCCCCTCCTTTTAACTACCTAGAAGAATCTAAATTGGGGGTCTGTCCTAGAATGAGGGTTAGTACCAGAGATCAGTTCTATCTGAGTGGCCCATCTGCGTGGCAGGGCAAACAGCTCATTACCCAACATCTGCATTCCTTCCCTCTGACGGCCCACATCCCTACCTTAGTTCAGGATGACATTTGGCCTCGTTTTGCCCGTCTTTGGAATTGCCCTGCCTGTGTGGATTCCCCGTATGTACAAAGTTAAGTTTGATTTTCCGTTGATCTGTCTCTTGTCAATTTGATTCGTAGTCCAGCTAGAAGGACCTTGAATGGGGACAGGAATTCTTGCTCTCTTACACCAGACTTACTGAAGTGCAATTTCTGCATCAAAGGGCCTGAATATTTTCAATAAATGCCCCGCCTGGGGTACCCACGCCCGTTATGATTGAGAGGGTCTGAGGGCTGAGACAGGCAGCCAGTGCCTGTCCCCACTCTGGCAACAAGAAGCAAGAGTCCGGCCCAGCCCGTCTGCACTTCCTCCTTCCCAGCGCATATGTGGCTATTACTCACTCATCCTTGAAGCAGGATGCGGGGAGGAGGTGGGGAATGCTGTGAACCCACAGGGTACACGTGGGGGCACTGGACTGGCAGTCTGGCCTGGGCCCAGCCCCACCGATGCCAACCAGCCTTCCCCGTGCTCAGCTGGAAAGAACAGTAACTGTGCAAGGCACCAGGCCAGGGATGTGCAAATAGTGTGTGGAGTCCCCAGACCTGCTATGCGGTCAGTGACAGGGGGAAGACCTGGCAGCCCTGGGGCCTAATGAGCAAGCGCAGGAGGAAGAAAAACACTCTCCCTCCTTTTCACGTTAGACACCGCAGGGCGGCTCTCGCGTCAGGCTGGGGCACTTCGTGTGACTAGCAGGCTGTATGGGGCAGTGCAGATTTTCTTCACGTTTTCTAAGCAATTCTTTTTCTCTAGATAGCACTTTTATCTATATAAAAATCTTTATTTTACTTTCAAGTGGTATCTTCAAACTTTCGGATGCAAAGTTTGAGGGAAATGTTCAGAGGTCCAAAGGATTAATGAAGGGTTCGTGGAGTCACAAAACAACACTGTGGATGGAAGCCTACCTCTGCAGGGCTGATCTTCCGACGGCTCACGTTCACACCTGCTGTCTTTACACTGGAAGGAAAGAAAAGGCCCTGCTTCATCTCATTCATATTTACAGTTACAGCACTTGGTGTAATTATACTTGCTGTTTTATACATCAGAACAGGACAGTAAGATTATACAGTGCAAGGTCAATGTACAAAATGTCTCCTTGAACAAAAGGATTATCCTGGATATTAAATTCCTGCAAACAAAACCAACCAACCCCACAACAATCATTTTCAGTAGCACTGAGGCAGCTCAGCCTGATGCGAGTCACTCTCCATTAGTGCCTGACATCCTACTCAATCCCCACCCCTGAGTCAGGGATCCAAACTCGCAGTGATTATGCACGGAAAACCTGACGACAGTCTGACCACCAGTCTAGTCTCAAACAGAATCCTTTTGGACGCTTAACTCTTGACAAATCTTCTAGCAACTCTTTAATAATACAGAATCGTCCATCAGATTTGGGCTTCTCCTCTGCATTTTTTATGTGCAACTGTCTACGCCTATGACAAAATCTTCTGGTTTTCCTAAATTTGCCTCAGAGGACGGGCCTGGCCCCAGTGAGCTGGGTCTTGGGCTCGGCCTCGGGCTGCAACTCGCGCCGGGAGCCTTTGTCAAGCGGGCCCGCTGACGCGGCAGCCTCTTGCCGTGGCCACATGCATCCTCTGGGGCCCTGGGGCCCTGAGAGCCGTGGTGGAGCGGGCCTCCGCAGTCCCTGTGCGGAGGGTGGCGGGCTGGGAGGTGCTGCTGCTGGGTCGGCCGAGCTCTGGGCTGTCAGTCCCTGCCGCCAGGATGCCACGGGCATGGGAGAGAGGACCTGGCTGGAGCCTCTCACAGACAAAGCAGCACCTTGTTCACGAGGCGCAGAAATAGGAAGTCTGCTCCCCCCCCCCTCCCCTTGCTCAAGCATCAATGCTCCGACGTCAAGGAGGCTGAAAGAGTCTCTCAGGGCCTGCGCAGTGCAAGTCAAAACACCTGGGTTTCCAGCCGTCGGACTTCCTTGACCACGAGATCAATGTTAATAATTGGGTTGAAGTACAGGGCCCAGTAAAATAAACAGTTGCAAACAAACTGAGGAATCAGGGGCCAGAACATAGCCACAAAAAGCCCCTGTGTTGATACCTTCCAAAAATGGCTCCACATCCTCTGAGGCACGGTCCTGGGAAAAGAAGAGAAGCATCTGAGAGGTGGAATGGCGATGCTGTTTCTAATGAGGACGCCAAAGTGCTCGGGCCCTGGCCTGGCCCTTGCTGCTGCAGACACCCTGCTTCCTGGCCCTGCTTGCCTGAGGCGTGCCTCTGCCTGACCCACCATCCTCCACTCCCAGCATGCAGCCTGTGGGGTGTGCCTGGTCCTGGTCCCCACACCAGGCGAGGACCCCCCCACCCCCCAGCACAGCCCCACCGGCTTCGTCGCTGGGTCGCACTTGTATGTATTTAATATCCGTATTTTCTCTGTAAGGCTATGGGCCTTCAGAGTCCAGACTGTCTGTGTTCTTTACCAAAACATCTGCAGCGCCCGGCAGAGAACCAGGGGCAGAGGAGGGGCTCAATTAACCATGAGCCTAAATAAATCAAAAGGAGATTCTTGTCAGGTTTTTGGAACTGTTTATAGGGCTGTTCCTGACTGACGAGGCCAAGAACTCTTTGAGTCATGGGATGTTTAAGGCTGTTAAGGATGCTGGTGTGGGGCTGTGTTACTTCTGCCTGCCCACTAGCCACCCTCTTTCTTTTGGAAACACTTCCTGAGTTTTCCTTCTGGGTGCCTCCTTCCCCTTTCTTTTCCATGTGGTCTCGGTGGATCTGAAGCCAACCCCTGGTTGGGGGTGAGGGGATGCCTTGAGCCTGGACAAGGAGAGCCTGGCATACCCCGGCACCGGGTGATAGGTCTGGGTGGGCATGGGACCCAGGCAGGGCCAATCAGAGCGAAGGAGTGTGACCCCCGAGACTATAAGTGCTATGGGGAAAGAAGTGCTCTCTCTCCACCAGGGGTGCTAAGCTGCTCAGATCTGTGCCCCGAGTGACCATGGGCCCTGCGTGAAGAGAGCTGCTGGAGGCTGAACAGAGCAAAGAGCAGGGCTGTGAGAGGGAGAGGATCAGTCCTGACGACAGCGTTTAGGTCTCTGGATCCAGCCATGCAGGAAGCCTTGGTGGGGCATCTCTCTTTTTGGGAAAGCCAATTCGGGCTGGTTTCTTTTCCTTTTTTTTTTTAAAGATTTTATTTATTTGACAGAGAGAGAGAGTGAGAGAGGGAACACAAGCAGGAGGAGTGGGAGGGGGAGAAGCAGGCTTCCCAGTGAGGAGGGAGCCTGACGTGGGGCTCGATCCCAGGACCCTGGGATCATGACCTGAGCCGAAGGTAGATGCTTAATGACTGAGCCACCCAGGTACCCCGGGGCTAGTTTCTATCACATGCAACCAAGAGTCCTGACTCCGACTGGCTAGCCCAATGCTCTCATTTTCCACATTAATCCAGAGAAGTGATTATTGTCCTGCTCAGTGGCCGAGCAGGATTAGAACTCATGCCTACAGAATTCCTCACCAGATCTCTTTATGCTCTACCACAGTGCCCTCTCCATAAAGAACCCTTTTCTTCTCACTTATGTATTCCTTAATACAATCCTTCATGCACACCCCCGCCCCCAGAAGTACATGATATGTTATTACACGGGGATAAGATATATGGAGAAACTCTTAAACAGTGAGCACCACGAAAACTTTCCCGCCCCCAAACATGAGGACAGTTTCCTATTCGCTGCTTAAGCAGTGCTTCTAAACCAGGGCCCAAGGACTGTTTTCCTATTTACCTACTACTTCAGAGAGGACCCTTCCACCACTTAGTCTTTCTCAGTGCCTGCTGTGTCAGCCATCTCCAATGTAAAAACACACTTACTTCAGTTCACTTCTTGACCAGATCCTCCAGAAGGAGAATAATTCCAGAACCGAGAGTAACATGGCATTGACGATGAGAAACCGTGATGTCCAGTAATGGACCTCCAGCCAGTCCCAAGCAAATTCAGCAATCAGCTGGTACGGAAGGAGGGAGTACTTGAGAAGAAATTCTCTCCATTGTTTCCATGTGGGCTCTCGAAGATCCTTTAAAATAACATAAAAATAAGCACAAGTGGGCACAAAAAATCGTGAGGATTGACTTTTACGGAAAATACTGTGGTCCTCACAGTGAACCTTACGTTTATTAAAACACCTGCATATCCAACAGCATAACATGAGATTTCCATCCATCAGCTCACCTTTATAATAACTAATCTTACACTGGATAAATGTTACCAAAGAAGTTGAACTGAGATGCTTCTTATGTAATAGTGGAATCAGAAGTAAAAATCTAAGCATGAAGTATAAATAATGAGGGTGCAATGAATTGAAATTAGACCAGTTTTTAAATTTCTTCCTCACTGCATGGGTAACTCAGACAGTTTTCTAAATTCGACATCTTAGCTGCACTGCAATGGTAACAGATCATGGGAAAATTAAACATACACCTTGAAAAAGTAGTTTTGGGGAAAATAAAAAACTCTAACTACAGATATTAGCAAATAATTAACCAGAGCATTTAAACAACTCATGGAGGCATCCAGAAGGCTTATGGAAGCTCAGCAGGACTGTGTACAATGGAGCAGATACTATTTCAAGAAGAAAGTGAGCCTGCTGAGTGGGCAGGGGTTGTTGGGGCTTGTTAAAATGGAAAGGCAGGGAGGTCTCTGTGCTCCCAGTCCAGCAAGGGCAGGTAACAGCAGGAAACTGGGTAATTAGATAAACACTGCATAGGGGCTCATCAGCAGGCTTTAAACTACACCCAAGGCTCAAGTCAGTTAGGCAGACACTTGACTGAAGTATTTTAAAAAGTGTCTTTGGAAATTTAGGAATTCTGCTTTGATATTTATGGGTATGGATCATATATGACGATTCCTATAACCACGTGACTTTTGATTTAAACAGATCCGAGGGATGGCCCCAAGAGCAGCAATGCAAAGGACATTCCCTGAAATACCAACCAGACACAGAGAAACCAGACACAGAGAAAAGTGGGATCCACCAACAATTCTGGAGGACTCCATGGGTCACACTGAAGACACAAAAGCCAAGGTGCGTAACTGTCTCTGCCAGGGGCCTGTGGTCAGCTGATGTGACAACTCCTATCAGTGAGGTGGATGAGGCTTACTCTTCTGAGGCCACTGGGGTAGATGCTAACCCTGCCCTGCGGTGGGACAAATAATCATCCTTTGGGGATCCAAATGACAGATGACAGATGACCAAGCTGGAAGGTCCATAGATCTAACCCTCGGGCAATCTAGACCTAGGCTATCTTCTAAATTTAGAACAAAAGCGATGCTGTTCCCCTGCCCCCCCCCCCAAATATTTCAGGTCCAGAGGGTAGCCCCTCTTGCTGTGTAATGTAGGAAATAAAACTGGCTTCTGGGAGTGGGGAGGGTCTGCTCTGTGTCCTCTTAGAGGGTTTCTCCTTAAGGCTGGGTGCTGTTGGCTCTTCCATGACAACTACAGTCCTGTCTCCCAACTCCAGAGCATGCTGAGGAGTGGCAGAATCATTGCATTTAAGGCACTCTGCAGACCTACCAAAAGCCTGGTGATGGTGTCCTCCCCGGAACTGTCTTCTTGCAGAGGGCAGATGGTGTGGATGAAGGGTAGGAAGGTGTCTGTGTAGTCAAATAGGTAGAGGTATAGCAGACCAAGTCTCGGGGAGCTCTTGAGGGCATACAGCAGGAACAGGGACCTGCCTGGGTTCACAGCCTGCAGAGGACAAGGCGGGGACAGGGCCGCATTACAATGGTGGTGGCCAGCTTCCCACCCGTGCTCCTCCACAGTCTCACACCCTTTGCCATCAGCCTTTCTTGTGTGGTTTGCACAGACAATGAATGAATGGATGAACGAACAAATGAATGAATGGCAAGAAGAGTCCAAGTAATCAGTATGTTGGGCTATGCTTAATAAAGCCCCAATCTTTCTCCATGGCTTTGTCAGGAGGAGTTGTGGGGAGCTGAGATACATACCCTAGGCACTGCTAATAAAACCCAACCTTTTTGGAAAACAATTCTGTAAACTGTATCAAAGAGTCTTAAAAATGTTTAATTTAGGGGCACCTGGGTGGCTCAGTCGGTTAAGCATCTGACTGTTGGTTTCAGCTCAGGTCATGAACTCAGGGTCGTGAGATTGAGTCCCATGTCGGGCTCTGCGCTGGGTGTGGGAGCCTGCTTAAGATTCTCTCTCTCCCTCTCCCTCTATACCCCCCACCCACGCTCACATGCACTCTCTCAAAAAAAAGTTTAATTTAACCAGTGTATGAGTGCGTACCACTTAAAATAAAAGTCATCAGAAATACAGAAGGCTTTACACATAAAATGTTTAGTGCTGCATTGTGTGTGACAGAGCAAGTGGAATCTGCGACCTAAATAATGAAGTTACAGTAGCTGTTTTAGCACAGAGTTCACACAGCCATTGAAAAATGAATATGGGCAATTTTGGGTAATGCTCGTGTTACACCGTTAGGTGAAACAACATTCAAAGACATATAGCAATCTGATCTCTCTGCTGTCGGCCCCATAGAAGCCAGGCCTCCTTCGCATCTGTTCCTAGAGGAGCACCTGGCTCACAAGAGATATAAGTGTTTGTGGAATGAATAGACAAACAGAAGGACCATTTAAACTATGCAGAGAAAATTGTCTGGAAGAAAATAGAGCAAAATGCAAAGTAAACCGTGTTTGACCCTCAGGTGGGACTGTGGACAATTTATTTTCATTTTCATCATTGCGGTAAATTTTGCTATGAAGAATGGGTATTTATATTTTTCCTGATTATAAAAGTAATTTCAAAGTGATTCAGTTTACTTGGGACACTACTAAGCATCATATAAAATGGGCAAAAGGTATGAATGGCTACTTCACCAAAGAAGATTTATAATAAGGATGGCAAATAAGCACATAAAAAGATGCTCAATATCATTAGTTCTTAGAGAAATGCCAAGTTGGATCAGTGTGTTAGCACCATGCACTTATTTGAATGGGGAGGGGTGGGTAGCAGGGCTCAACAAAGGGGCAGGAGGTAGCTTTGGGGAGTGATGGATATGTTCGCTACCTTGATGGTGATGGTTTCACAGGTGTGTGCAATATGTCAAAACTTATCAAACTGATGAACAGAGAAAGGAGATGTGCTATATATATATATATATATATGCACAATGGAATATATTCAGCCATAAAAAAAAGAATGAAAGCTTGCCATCTGCAATGACACAGATGGAGCTAGAGGGTATTATACTAAATGAACTAAATCAGAGAAGGACAAACACCGTATGATTTCACTCCTATGTGGAAGTTAAGAAACAAAACAACCGGGTGCCTGGGTGGCTCAGTTGGTTAAGCGACTGCCTTCGGCTCAGGTCATGATCCTGGAGTCCCGGGATCGAGTCCCGCATCAGGTGCCCTGCTCAGCAGGGAGTCTGCTTCTCCCTCTGACCCTCCCCCCTCTCCTGCTCTCTCTCTCATTCTCTCTCTCTCAAATAAATAAATAAAATCTTAAAAAAAAAAGAAAAAGAAAAAGAAGAAACAAAACAACCGAGGGACACCTGGGTGGCCCAGTCAGTTAAGCAGCTGACTCTTGGTTTTAGCTCAGGTCATGATCTCAAGGTCGTGAGATGGAGCCCTTGCATCGGGCTCCATGCTCAGTGGGGAGTCTACTTGCAATTCTTCCTCTCTCTCCCTCTGCCCCCACCCCCACCTTGTGCTCTCTTTCTCTCAATAAAAAAAAATGAAGAAATGAGAGAATTACAGTATCACCATTTTGCAAGTAAAGAATCAATGATCATGGTGGCTGCTACCGTCAGAAAGAAACAATTAGATATCATGAGCCTCTTGATGGAAGAAAACGCCACCACCTATGAAGCAGTCTTGTCAAATACCCAAACCAATGCAAGCTTCTAGATATAACTACTGGATTATGGGATATGCAGGAGATAGTAGAACCTGTCAGGTGACACCACAGAGAGACAAACAGCTGAATTCAAGATGGAGGCAAACTACAGGCAAAACTATTGAGTTTCATCAACAAATAAATGCAGGATAACAAAAACAGGGAGGGAGAATCCATACACTACAAGAGACTTGAGACACAATGGCCAAATGTAGACCTTGTTTGGAACAAACGAACTGGAAGAAAAAAAGATGTAGTACATTTAAATACTGCCAAGTTATGTGATATCAGGGAATTTAGTTTTGTTTTTAAATTTTTAAAAAAAGATTTTATTTATTTGAGAGACAGACAGTGAGACAGAGAGAACGGGGGTGGGAAGGGAGAAGCAGACTCCCCGCTGAGCTGGGGGTCCTGGACATGGGGCTCGACCCCAGGACCCTGGGATCATGTCCTGAGCTGAAGGTAGACACTTAACCGACTGAGCCACCCAGGTGCTCCTAGTTTTCTTTTTAAAAGAGTCTTTACTTTTTAGAGATTCACAATGAAATATTTACCTATGAAAAATAAGGTATCTTAGATTTTCAAAATAGTCAGGGGTGGGAGTAGGTGGGGGAATCACTGAAATCAACATGGACATAAGTTGCTGTAGCTGGTAAGGGTACCTGGCAGTTCTGTAGTGTTACCCTGCTTTTGTGTATGTTTGAAATTTTCCATAGTAAATACCTTTGCATCCTAACGTAGGTGAGAAATAGACATGGGAGTAATTCATCATTCAAAAATGTTTCCCAACCTGTTTTTTTTTTAATTATTATCCCCTTTTAAAAACATTTTTTTTTTCATAATCCTGCCTCCCCATGAAATGTGAATACCGCAGATATACTATACATCTGTTTATGTACTGTGGTATTTTGGAGGGGGCCACAGATCACAAATTATCCAAGACTTTTTTTTATTCTTCACCTCCCACCAATCAATCGCCTTGGGGGCAATACTGTTCTTGTAAAATATGCAACATCTAAAGGAGCACTGGTCCCAGAAATAAAGTTGGAGTATGGCCAGCCACATCATGGTTAGTACAAGAGAAAGGGAGATGAGCAGGTTACCTCTTTGTGGGTCTGGTGTCAGTGTGAGTGCTTGGCTTCCTATCAGAAAAGGAGGAAAAGCAACCACCCGGTAAGGTGGTTATGATGATAGCACTTCAGTGGGGAGCTGTTTCTTTCATGTCGAATGAGAATAAGAATTGCACCCGGACACTAGGGCTGGAAGAATCTTATCACACACCTTTGGACCTGTCGGCTCATTGGCGATTTGTCAAATGGCCACCCTCTGGGAGGGGCTGCCCGCTCAGAAGACCTGAAGGAGCCAACTGATAAGATTCTGCCTGGGTCCAGAATCGCGTTCCCATTTGCTCTGGTTAATATTAAGATTACTTTTATGTATTTTATTTTATTATTATTTTTTTTCTTTTACGTATTTTAAATAGTCAGCAATAACGCACAAAACAACAAACCTCCTCCATGCCCCGTCTTCAAAAATTCTAAAACAAGTGTTTTTTTAGTTTTAAAATAATATGTGTACCAAGTCAACACAATGTTTTCCAAAAGGCACAGAAATGTATTGACAATAAAATTCTCCCTCTGTCCAAGTCCCAACCCCTAGATGAAAACACTAACAGTTTGTGTATCCTTCCACAAATATTCTATGCAAATGCGAACATACACATACATACAAATGTGTCTATTTTCCAATGTGCTTTTCTTTATTTGCAGTTGACAGTACAACTTGGGCATCCTTCCTTACTGGCACACCCAGAGTCCCCACCTTCTACCTTCTTTTGTACTGGTTATATGTATGGGTGTGCCCTCTTTATTTAACCTGTCCTCATGATGGGCACTTCCCTTGATTTCCGTGTGCTGCTATTACCAACGATGCTGCGGTGAGCGTCTCATCGGATGACGTTTGGGGACTCAAAGTTCGGTTCTCTCTGTGATTACCGAGGAGGAGATGGGCACATGGGGCCCGGGGCCTGCTGCTGCTCCATAGCCAGCGTGTCCTAGAGGAGCCCGGCAAGGGGCGCAGCTGCCCTGCCCTTGACCCCCAGACCATGCTACCCGGGCTCTATGTGCTAAGAAGTGAAACTGCAGGTCAGGCGGTGGGGGCGGTTTAAATTTTACTAGTTATTGATAAACTGCTCTCCACAGAGACTGCACCATATTTAGGATCCACAGAACACACGAGCGTCTCTTTCCTTAGATTATGATGCTCTTGTCCTTGACAAGACCATAGAGGTGAAAACGATGCCATCTGCTTATTTCAGTTTGCACTTCTTTAATTATGAGTGAGCATTTTTTCCCTATGGACTTATGGATCATTTGTAATTACTTTTCTCCATGCTATCTTTTTTAGGATACAAGTCAGTATTCATTCCAGATATTTTATAATAAAAAATATTCGTTTTATGGTACAGTATTTGCTAAATCTTATCTGTGGTGCAGTCACGGTGAAGAGTAACTTATCTTCAACTCATAAAGTTGGAGATGTGTATTGCCTGTGAGCTAGCAATCCCATTCCGCAGTACACACCGTAAAGTATGAGAATGTCCAAAGAATTTCCACAGCAGCACTGTTTCTAATAGCAAAAAGGGAAAGGATCTCAGGGTTCACTGACAGGACAAGGCCTCAACGTGCTCGAAAGCGAACAGGAGTGAACTGGGGCCAGAGAGGTTGCTACTTGCAGAAGGACGTGCTCAGTTCAGGCCCCTTCCGTGAAGATTAGGGACCCGTGAAACAACACTCCTAGTGCTTGCGTACGCACACCCCCGACACAAGTAGGGACCCCCAGCTCAGCGGCAGGAGCATGGTACCTCTAGAGAGGGTGGGGAGCTGGGGGCTTCAGGGGGGTCTGTGATGTTTTCCTACTCAGTGGGCATGCAGATGACGGAGAGGCTGTTCTCTACACTTTTCTCAATTAAAAAAAAAAATAATAAAGAGTTCACCTTATATTCCCAGAGATTTTGGGGTGGCTTCACACCTAGGGCTTTGACACGCTCCAGTTCCAGGAGGATGGCTCTTCTGTGGCTGCTGTTTTCTATGGTATATGGCACCCTTGAGAATTCTTCCTCTGTCAGGGTTAAAAGCAACCTGTCGGGGAGGGGGAGTAGCAGGAGGAGATTTCTTTTGAAGGCAAACTCTTCACAGTCAGGCTTGCACCCTATCAGCACAAATGCTTTAGGCTTGAGTAAGTTAAGACGCTTAGTATATGGTATAACAGTAATAACAGCAAACCACTGAATCTTCGTGACTCTCTAAAATGACTTCCGTGAGTCACCACAGATCCATTTAACAATTCTGCCCAGTAGGTGGCATGATGGCCATTTTGTGGCTGAAAAAATGGCTTGGAGACATCAAGTGGCTCAGCTAAGGCACAGCCTGGTCTCCTTTGCTCCTAACCTCTGATCTCCCAGCTACGCAGGATGACCTCTCACATACTGCCCTATTTTTCAAAATGTGTATATATAGAAAAAAAAAAATTGGAAAGAAATCCAATAAAATGTTATGATTTTAAGAGTAGCTGTTTGGGGGTAGTAATTTAAGAAAAACGATGGCAGCTCCCTTGTCTGATCCCTTTCATCAGAAAACATGACTCCACCTCAACAATCATTCATCGTTAAAAACACCCCGGTGCAGCAACAGCTGAGAGCCCCACGGGCACACGACCGCTGGTGGATGGATGGAGGCTGATTTCCTTTTCTGGGGAATTTGGAAACATTTACCCAAGTTGTAAAGGTTTATGTCCTTTGACCCAGAAATTCCAGTTCTAGGAATCTATCTTCTGGAAGGAAGGCAATTACTCAAACATGTATTAGGTAGGTAGAGAAAAAAAAATTTTTTTAACCACAACTGGGGAGAGGTGCTAATTCTTACAAAAAACAGACAATTCGAGTGGGAGCATTTGGCTTTCCCAAAGGAGGGTCAAGTGCTGAAAGCCCAGTTCCAGGGGGCAGTGAGTGGACGGCCGTCCGGGACAAGTGGATCGCGGCTGCTCTTGGCACTGCGTGGTGCGCTAAGTACTATCCTTCCACAGTCCCTCCAGGGAAGGAAAGACTCCAGTAAAGATGGACAGGGCTCTGGAAGGGGGCGAGGGGAAATGCTGATGGGCATAGGCGGGCCTCCCTAGAGCCTGGCAATTCGATACGGGAGTTCCTTGAATCAGGGCATTTGCTACAACATTGCTTGGAACTGCTTAGAACAGGATAAAGGAAACAATCCAGATTTGTTTTGGGAGAGATCAAATAGACTCCGGATATACACATACATGCATATATACATACACATATATAAACACAGGTCTGGTTAGTATAATTGCATTTTCAGTTTAAACAAATAAATAATAGGGGCGCCTGGGTGGCTCAGTCGTTAAGCGTCTGCCTTCGGCTCAGGTCATGATCCCAGAGTCCTGGGATTGAGCTCTGCATCGGGCTCCCTGCTCAGTGGGAAGCCTGCTTCTCCCTCTCCCACTCCCCTTGCTTGTGTTCCCTCTCTCGCTATGTCTCTCTCTGTCAGATAAATAAAATCTTAAAAAAAAAATACATTTATGTGTATCTCTGTATAAACATGGAAAAAAAATCTGGAAAGATGTCCAGAAAGATGACCATGGTGGTTTTCCCTAAAGAGTAGAATTATGAGGGTATTTCACTTCCAATACCCTATAGTTCTACATTATTATTTTTAAGTAAGTAGTAAATACCTGCTTCTTTTGTAATCAAGAAGCAACACACAAAATGTCAATAACATAAAATGGTTCAGCTGCTTTGGAAAAACAGTTTGGCAGCTCCTCAAAATGTTAAACACAAGGATTTACTTTATGACCCAGCAATTCCACTCCAAGAGAGTACTGGAAATGCAGATCTACACAAAAACCTGTATGCTGAGGATCACGGTGGCACTGTTCGTAACAGTCCCCAAACGGAGTCAACCCAAGTGTCCATCAACAGAAGGATGGATAAATGAAATGTGGTTTAGCCACCAACTGGGATATTACTCAGCAATAAAAAATGCAAGAGGCATTGACACCTGTGACAACTTGGATGAACCTTGAAAATATTCTGCGAGGTGAAAAAGCCAGACCCAAAAGGTCATGAATATTGTCTGGTTCCATTTATACAAAATAGTCTAAATAGGCAAATCCATTGAGACAGCAAGGAGAACGGTGGTTACCAGGGGTTATGAGGACTGATGGCAAAAGAGTAAGAGCTTTCTTTTTGGCGTGATGAAAATGTTCTAAAACTAGACTGGGGTGATGGCTGCACCCATCTGTGAATATACTGAACACCATGGATTGTACACTTTAAATAGGTGACTTTTAGGGCGCCTGGGTGGCTCATCGTTCCTTCGGCTCAGGTCATGATCCCAGGGTCCTGGGATCAAGCCCCTCATCGGGCTCCCTGCTCAGCGGGAAGCCTGCTTCTCCCTCTCCCCCTGCTTGTGTTCCCTCTCTCGCTGTGTCTCTCTCTGTCAAATAAATAAATAAAATCTTAAAAAAAAAAATAGGCGAATTTTATAGTATGTGGATCGTATCTCAATAAAGCAGCTTAAAAAAAAATGTCAGAAGATATTGCTTCTCACCTTCCATTTACTCTTTCCGCTAAAAACCTGTCTCTGTAGAGAGAGGCCCAAGGGCCCAGCTGTTCCAGCCAGAGGACGACTTCTTCCGCTGTCCACTTGGCCACGGCCTTGTGGACCAGGAGGTCGTGCTCAGATTCCCTGCTGCTCCAGTGATACACGAGCAGGACCACCTGGGGAAGAGGGAGAGCCCTTAACACAGAGGAAGGTCAGAGGCTGAGCGTGAAGGGAATGATGCCACGTTGGTACAAGGAAGCAAAGAGAGAGGGGGAGCGGAACTCTCGGGGGGGGGGTCCTCTCACTGCTGGGGGGTAAGGCCATGAGGGAACAGAGTCAGAAACAGGACTCAGTGCAGAGCATCTGGGGGCACTGCACCCTTTGACCCCAACATCTTGGCCGGTATAATGGACTTATCATGTGCCTTTTTTTGCTGGAAAATGTGTAACCTTTAAATTGTTGTAGCATGGAACTGAAAAGAAAACAGTCTGTCCATGGGATGTTAGTAAAGTGCCGTGCTCGAGACTGGACCATCAAGGTAGACATGGTCTCGAATTTTAGTTCTAATACCTCCTTGCATCGGTCTCCTCACCTCTAAAGTGGGAACAGTAGGGGCGCCTGGCTGGCTCAGTCAGTAGAGCATGCGACTCTTGATCCCAGGGTCATGAGTTCAAGCCCCATGCTAGGCATGGAGCTTAGGTTAAAAATAATAATAAAAAGAAATAAACAGACAAAATGAGAGTAATAACAGTGGCTATTGTAGAGGTTATGAAGAGCATGAAATGGAATAAAGCTAACAATAACTGGGCTCTGAATATGACGTTGACTACTTGAGTACGAAGCATCCCCGAAGAATCATACAACCCAGCAGATGTCCACGCACGCAGTGAATCATCGCATACAGGTATGCCATCAATTACAAAGGAACTGACTTCAGTGGAAACTGTGGAGGGCAGGGGCAGAGAAACACAGAGATAAACTTACTGCCACACCAGTTAAAGCGGTGAGCACTCCAGAAAAGAATCCCCCGCCTCTCTGAGGATTCACTCGGCCTGTGTTTGGAGCTAAAGGAACCTGATCATTCCCGTATTTCTGAAAGGCTGCAAGACTCTGGACTATGTCATTATTGTGCCGAATGTCTTCAAATCGCATTCTACTGGCATCAGGAAATAATTTTTCAATGGCATCCCTATGGAGAATAGAAAAAAAAATCACAAGACAGTTATCTGCCTAAATCTTATATGTTTAGAGGTTAAAATCAAACTAACAGTCAAGATTTAATAATACACAAGCACTTTAGAAGAATGGACAAGAAGGTTGGTTATGGCCCTGTTGGTAACAGCAAAAAATGAGAAACAACTTACACGTCAATGGTTAGAGAAATAGTCAAATAAAACATGGTCTATTCACACAATGGAATGCTACATGGTTTTAAAAATGAATTTACTGGGTATCACTTGTATCTAGATGGGTACGTTTAAGACATACATATCGTTGAATGAAAACAGTAAACTGTAGAACCATACAGATAGTACACCACAGACGTGAGGATATATTTGGATTTCCTATTGGCACACACATGTATAAAAGTATTTTTAAAAATCTGAAGGAAATCATAACTAAGTCATAACTGAAATGACTCTGGGGAAAAAAGGAAGGATGGCAAGATAGGGAAAGAGAGGTCCAAGGGGTCTTTAACTTTATCAGTAATAATTCTAATTTTTTAAGAAGAATATAAGCAATTGAAGGTATCTATGTATTGCTTATGTTATTAAAAATTAATTCATAAAAAGAAAACAAGTGGAGTTGAGTAGTAAGAGGAAGACCATTAGGTCCTACTATAGGGCTCTCCATTTTCAATTACCCATAATCAGAGAATCTTCCTTCAATTTAAGAGCAACCGTCAGGTAAACCAGGCTGACAGATGAGAGCAAAGTACTTGTAAATATATCTCATATGCAAAAGAGAAATGTTAGGTTAATGTTTTCATGGAGCTTTCTGGTACTCTGTTGGTATCAAGAAGGCAACAGAAGAAAAGCAAGGATTTTAGCCTCAAAGACCTCACAGGTACATTATAAATATTATGGACAGAAACAGAAAAGAACCTACTATCTGAAAGGTCTTGCCATTTGTTGTATGCATGAGAAGCTACCTCTATTGATATGAAAACTGGAACAGAATTTAGTCAAAGATGATGAAAATCAGCATCAAATTGATTTGTACAGAATTGTGCAGTTATACCACTTTCTCTATTAGACCTAGGTGTCCGCAGTAGATACAAATCAATAAAAAGTGTTATATGACAAAGGATTATAAGCAATGGTCTGATACCCAGAATTTCTTCTTCTCCTTTATGATAAACAATCACAGACAGATCACGATCAGCTGTGAGGAAGGGCGTCTGGGTCTGCAGTCCCTGGGCTCCCTGACACACACACCAGCAGATCTAGAGTGACCATGGAGGAGGGCGGCTCTGCGCCTCTGGCCCTCTCAAGCTTGGTTGCTCCCGGGAAGAGAAAGCACACTGCTCGCTGCATGGGCGACCGATACGGACTGAGCATTACCTGAGGAGAATATTGACTTTAGGGAAACCTTCCCATTTTTCTCTGCATTCTGGACACTCTGTTTTCTTGGAAGAAGCCCACCACAAAGCTAGGCAGTGCCGGCAGAAGCTATGCCCACAGTTCAAGGTGGTGGGGTTAACCAGGATGTCGTAACAGCAGTGGCAAGAAAATTCACTAACAGAAATCTGAGGGCTGGTGCTCTGGAGAGGGTCATCCTTCTCGTGGGTCATCGTGTTCAGATCGTTCTGAGGAGGCTCCTCCATATCTTAGCAAATCCTGGGATGCACAGGCACAGAAAGCTTCAGACTTAGAGACTGTTGCAAAGCATCATTAAATCTAGAAAAAAAAAAGACAACAACAGAACGGGGCCAAACAGTTTAGCAGGTGTTTGAGATTACTGCCGTTCTAGTAAAGGCAATTTTTATATGTGACCAACTTAATGTCTAAAAATTCACATTCCATAAACCAAATAAACCTCGCTGAATTTTTCTGCTCTGTCATACTTCTGAAAATTAGGTGAAGCAAAACAATGTAGCGGAAAGCTCAATGGACTTGGGGGCAGTGGAGAATCCTGGATCCTCTTCTTTCACTAACTTACTTGGAAAATGTAATTCCTCTGGCCTCAGTTCTCCCAATTAAATTTCTCAAGTCCTTTCATGTGTATGATTTATTTATTTATTTATTAAAAGATTTATTTATTCATTTGAGAGAGCAAGAATGAGAGAGAGTACATGAGAGGGGGTAGGGTCAGAGGGAGAAGCAGGCTCCTCGCCGAGCAGGGAGCCCGATGCGGGACTCGATCCCGGGACTCCAGGATCATGACCTGAGCCGAAGGCAGTTGCTTAACCAACTGAGCCACCCAGGCGCCCCTCATGTGTATGATTTAAACAAAACAAAACAAAACAGCTTTTTGGGCCAGTAAAATGTCTGGAGTTGGCAATAACAGATGGACTTCATGTAAATAATGCCTTTTTTATCCAGACAAATCTGCCTTCTCGTTAGGTAATTATTTATTTCATAAACATGTGATTGCAGAGGCTCCCACAGGAAGAGTACGAAAAAGTGAGTGAAACCTTGTTTTCTTAAGTGCCCTGTGCCAGAGCAACTCCCCTGGGGCTCAATATACCCTTTCAATCCAAACACACATCATGCCCTCTGGATTTGGCCAATCTGGTGCCACAGAAACATGCTAATGTTGGTAGTAAGCAAAGGGCAAAGGGCCATACTCTTCTCGTTCTTATCTGGGTCTTAGGAGATTGTTTTATGGAGTGGAAGTATGGAACACCATGGAATTAGATAGAATCCTAGCTCCTCAATCATGTGCTCCGTGACTACACATAAGTTACTTGAGCTCTCTGAGTCCTGTGTTCTCAACTGTGAAATGGTGGTTAACAGAAACCTTCAAGGCTTCTGGTAAAGATTAGAGACACTGAAAGTTAAGTGGCAAGGATGGTATATGGCATAAACAGGGGCTAATGAAATGATTATTCACAGTATTCCTGGTATTACTACAGTAGAGGCGCTGATGGGTAAGGGTTTCTCCACCTCGCTATTGTGAAGACAAGGGAAGTCAATCACTCTTCATCACTCATGGTGGTCATGCAAGAGAGGGCTCAAGTTTTGACACATTCCAGGTACAGTGGTTAAGAAACAGGTTCCAGGTCTGGGTTGCCTGGGGTCTTATTCCATGTCTGCCATTCAGTAGCTGTGGGGACTGGACTTCCTAGAGACTCAGCTTCTTCATGTATAAGTGGGGGTGGTAATAGCATTTACTCCACTGGGAGGGTTTAAGAATTAAACGTGAGAATGCAAGTGAAGTGCCTCGTACAGAGTCTGGCACGTGGTAAGTAAAGCACAGATGGTAGCAATTTACCTGCTTTTAAATAGAGTCATGAGAATTGTATCACCTTTTATTATTTTGAAAGATTTACTTATTTATTTGAGAGAGAGAGCGAGCGACCGCGTGTGCACACTAGTGCGTGTAGGAGGGAGAGTGGGGAGGGGCAGAGGGGGAGTGGGAGAGAGCAACCCCAGCAGATTCCGCACTAAGCATGGGGCCTGACATGGGGCTGGATCTAAAGACCCTGAGATCATGACCTGAGCCGAAACCCAGAGCTGGATGCAATGCCACCGGCATTGTATCACCTTTTACAAAGTGATGTATGATACTTACATAGAGCACTATATTTTAAGCAAATCTAGGGGCACCTGGGTAGCTCAGTCAGTTGAGCGACTGACTCTTGGTTTCTGCTCAGGTCCTGATCTCAGGTCCGGAGACTGACCCTAGCGACAGCTGGTGCTCAGGGCAGAGTCTGCCTAAGATTCTTTCCCTCTCCCTCTACTCCTTCCCCCTACTTTCTCTCTAAAATAAATAAAACAAAATCTTAAAAAAAAAAAAGCAAATCTATAAACAAAGACTAGAAGAAAATACAATGAAGTATTTGTAGCAGGTCTGGATATGTTGGGTGGGGGAGGGTTGTGATTCTTTTGGTTTTGGTTCTCTGTATTTATCAGGTTGTTCTTAATGAAAATGTGTAATGTTACAATAATTGTAAAAATATATATGAAATTGTAAAAAAAAAAAAAAGTTATATTCCTTTTGGCCCAACACCAGTGGGGGATTTTCAATGCAAAGAATAAACAACTGAATTTTAAACTCAGTGTTAAAGTGGAATAGAGATTCCTCATCAGTACTAAAAAGATAATTAGGCAAAGATAAAGTTAAAAGATTAAATATAAGATATACAATTTTAAAATATAATTAAATTAATGTTATTCATAATAATAAATGATAGTAAAGAGGGGAACAACCTTCTGTGAGGCCTAAACTGTTCTTTTTGGGGCGCCTGGCTGGCTCAGTGGTGAAGCATGAGACTCTCGATCTCAGAGTTATGAGTTTGAGCCCCATGCTGGGTGTAGAGGTTATTTAAAAATAAAATCTTAAAAAAAAAAACCCAAAACTGTTCTTTTTGGAAGACTTCAAATAAATGTTCTTAATGACAAACTTTAAATCATTTCTGATAATCAATCATATTTATTATTTGTATGTTTAGGAACATTAAAAAAATTCCTAAGTTGCTTTCCTTTGGGCAGTCTCTTCAAATTGCTAAGGAAGTGGGAGATCTTACATAGGTTTTTAGAAAAAGGAATCATTTTGATAAAGTAGTTCCTTTATCTGGCTAATGCTGATTCAACAGCTGCCATGAGAACATTATCCCAGGAAATAATAATTGACCCACTGCTATTTATTTGCTTATCAGTATTATTTTTTTAAGATTTTATTTATTTGAGAGAGAGAGAGTTCATGTGCATGAATGGGGGCAGGGAGGGGCAGAGGGAGAGGGACAAACAGACTCCCCGCTGAGCAAGGAGCTGGACATGGGGCCTGATCCCAGGACCCTGAGAACATGACATGAGCCAAAGGTAGATGCTTAACCGAATGAGCCACCCAGGCGCCCCGAACCACTGCTATTTATTAGGCTTCTCCTGTGAGCTGGGCATTGGGCAGGCCCCCTTAGGTACATTTAGGATCTCATTTGGATTCAGGGTCAGAGGAAAGATCCTGAGGCTCCCAGTGAGGGCTGGGCACGGGGTCAGAAAAGGGGGGCCTGACTTGGGCACTGCTGTCAGCATTTTCATGGGGACCAGTGAGTGACCCAGAGCTACAGGTCTGATATAGGGGTCTTGTGTGCCTAGTTAATGACAGGTGGGCCGATGGGAACACATAAAGGCTTCAGGGGCAATCAGATCAGCAAAGCTGTGCTTGAGTACGATAAATCCCCTCAGGTAGGAGGACCACACTAAGATAACTTAGAAGTAAAATGTTTATCACTTCTAGGACTAAGGTGACAAAAAAATGAAAAGAGCAAAGGAATGAAAAGTGATAAAGAAAGGGGTCAATGTATCTGAGAGACATTAAGAAAATAATTTATGGGCTCCGGTGACTAGAGGGAAAGAATGATCAAAGATGCTGCCTAGGTGTCAGAGCTAGGGAAGAAGAAAGGTACTTGTGATAGAAATGGGTCACTGTGAGCACATGGGACTGATCTTAGAAAGAAGTGGAATTTTAGAAAACTTAAGTTTGAGGTGATGATAAGACTTCCAAGTAGAATTGTTGAGTGAGCAGCTGGAGATACAAAACTGTAGATGGGAGTTAAGAATGAGGCGAAGTGTATGCATTTCAGAGTAATTTGCAGAGAAATGACAATATGTATTGAAATTCATTTCTTAGCAATTAGCCTTTTATTTTTTTAGAAGATTTTATTTATCTGAGAGAGAGAGAGCGCATGAGTGGGGGGCAGAGGCACAGACAGAGGGAGAAGCAGACTCTTCCGCTGAGCAAGGAGCCCGATGCAGGGCTCGATCCCAGGACTCCGAGATCATGACCCGAGCCAAAGGCAGATGCTTAACAGACTGAACCCCTCACCAATTAGCCTTTTAGAACTAGAAGGTAAGAGCGCCTGGGTGGCTCAGTTGGTTAAGTGTCTGCCTTCGGCTCAGGTCAGGACCCCAGGGTCCAGGGATCGAGTCCCACATCAGGCTCCCTGCTCAGTGGGGAGTCTGTGTCTCCCTCTCTCTTTACCCCTCCCACCTGCTTGTGCTCTCTCTGTCAAATAAATAAATAAAATATTAAAAAACACCACTAGAAGGTATAAAGCCATTCCCTACCTTACCAGCTCTGAAAGTTTATTTCTCATGAGAGAAAACAAACCACACAATGGCATCTAAAAGGTATTTTTAAGTCATATTTTGAAAAGCTGAAGTGGCCACTAGTTTTGTCTCAAAACTGTCTTTAACAAACTAGAAACTGCATAGACTTTGATTACCTCTTAGGAACGTGGCTAGTTTCAGGTTACCCTACATTCAAAATGTGAAAGCTAACAGAGAAAGAGTACAATCTTAACCGAAGTCAGTTGATCTTTTGCTATTTCTGTCTGTCTGCTTTTGGGTTATTTCCATGAGGGAAAACAGCACTTTTGGAGGAAGAAAGTACCTCTTAAGTGATAAAATGTAGCTCAGACACCAAAGTTCCAAGCTGTGGGTCAACAACCCTCCTGCACTGGCAATGATTAAAGGCCTCTTTGAGAAAGCCAGTGTTCTTGAGGATGTTTAGAGATGTTCTCTATAAACTCAGCCCACAGCAGGAGCTGGGAGAGGGTTTTGCTGGCTCTTTCCGAGTTCCTTCACAAGGAAGCAGTAGAATGTCCCTGTGGCCTACTGTCTTCTTTCTCTGTCTCCAAGGCTCCAGAGAGGACTGGGGGAGGAGATCCAGTCCATTCTCTACCCCCTGTGCCCTGTTCACAGGGATACACTTTGGTTTGTGTGCAAGCGTCACA